CAGTAAGATTTTATCTGAAAAATTACGCTGATTTAACTTAACGGCTATCTCAGTACAAAAAGTGGGACACAACAGTACAACACTTTCAGCATTTATATATATAAAAAAACATTCCTCATGCATAGTGCAGAAAAATACTGTATGACACAAATGCAGGGTAATTTCTGGCTAGGTTAGGCTTCATTTATATTAGATTACTGGGATATATATTTAAAATAAATAGGGTGAAAGAGTTAGGTGCTTATTATACTAGTGTGGTAAGAAACCCAGAGATAAAATAATCATTTAAAAACCTACAACAGACACAGGGACACTTCTGAAAAGATTACAGAAGATACAACTGGAGTAAAGGCAGTGCTTGAACTGCTACATGTGATGAAAACAGTTAAAACGAGACACAAGAGCATCATTACATATCCAGACTGAATGCTTTACACTTCAGTAAGTCAGCAGCAGCATATAAAAACACATTTGTCTTGCCATTGAAAAGGTCATGTGTCTCTTCTCAGTCTGTCCACAGTTTCTCTTTATAGTACGGTGGCCTCACAGGAGTTAGGCTGCAGTATCTCAAGTGTAACAATGAGTTTAACAGATTTTCTAAACCAGGGGTAGAAAAACGCATAGATCACAGGGTTTAGACAGGAGTTAAAATAAACCATAAAAGTAATAACTAAATTCATTGAAAAACCAAGTGTGATGGCATAGCCGGAGATAGCAGCAGAATAATATGGACAGTAACACATGAGAAACACAGCAACAAGGATGCCAAGAGTCCTGGCTGCTTTCAGCTCTGATTTCTTAACAGTTACAGTCACTGAACGCTGCAGTGTGACAGCTGCAACGTGGGAGCGCATGGCACGGGCCTGAGATGCAGCCACCACAAACACTCTCATATACAGAATGATGATGGCAAAAACAGGAATGATAAAAAATAACAAAACATCAACAGCCCCGTTATAGTTAATCACACATTCTCCGTAGCAGGAGTTATACCTGCCTGGTTGTTCCAGGTTGTCATATAAAAGCAGAATAATGTAGAAAGCACAGTAAATCCAACATAGGAGAACAAAGATTCGAACTCTCTTTTGGGTGATTTTGGTTTGATAGTGCAGAGGGTCACAGATAGCCACATAACGATCGACTGATATGAGCACCATGTTTACTACGGAGGCACAGAGAGTGATACAGAGGAAGAAATAAAACAGAACACACATCAGGTCACCCAGGAACCAGCAGGGTTCCGCTAAGAGGATTTGAAACGGCATCACAAGGAGGCCGACGAGGAAGTCACCGACAGCCAGAGAGAGGAGGAGGAGGTTGGTGGGAGTGTGGAGCTGCCTGGAGTGAGAGAATATCATCAGTGTGACTATTACAAACAGCCACTGCATTATTAGCAGTGGAAATGGTTGTTTTAAATAATGACAGTTCACACTATAGCACTGCCTATGAACAAAAGTCTCATCAAACCAGCAGGATGTAATGCTCAGAGGTCACTGAATCTAATGATTGTCACTGCAACAACATATGATCAATACTAAGATATTTATCTCTGCCTGAAGTGGGAGATGGAGATGATGACCAGTAGGTTGAGAGATGCAGTCAGCAGAGAGATGAAGGAAAACACAATGTAAATGAGCATTCTGTCAGAGTGAGGACGTGTGTGCTTTTTGCAAGACGTGTTGAGGAGTTGTGGAAAGCAGAGTTCAGTTTCCTCCATCATCAGAGAGAGAGGAGGAGAAGGGAAGCTGCTGAACACACAGCTTTCTGAGCAAAGTTCTGTGTCATACAGGTGATTATCTCTCCCATCATTCCCCCTCCTCCCCCCTCTCCTTTCACACTCTCTCTCTTGGACACTCATCTTCCTCATCCCTCACTATGCATCACCACCTTCATCACCTGCGTCTTTATTGCTCTCTAAAGAGATGTGTCCCTCTGGTGTAACAGGTTTCTGTTGGTTTGTTTTGGCTGATGCATAGACTCTAGTGACTACAGCATCAATTATGGCCATGATGAAATCATGTTAAAAAAAAACACAAAACAATAAACAGTCTCCAAGATTGTTCTAAAAAGCCCATAATATTGAATTATAGAATACTGTACTGTGACTCAGTATTTTCTAATAAAAATTAAGATGCAGTATGAAATTAGACAAATTAGACACTCCTAGATAAAAACTCACAATAAATGTTCACCTGTTCAGTTCTGTGGTGCTTTTTTGCTTCTTTCATTTCATTGTTCAAGTTCAAGCTCACTTCATTGTCTCTGCTAGGAGAACTTTGTGTCAGACCAAGGAATCAGTGGACAGTTTTTAGAATGTTCATCAACCTTGGGAACTGATTTCAGAAGAAAAACTGATAAACCTGCTGTGTACCATTGTATTACTTACATTATGGGGACTTGGCCTTCCTTGTGGGGACCAGAGGCTGGTCCTCACAAGCAATTCACTGAATTTTAGGGTGGCAACATATTTTAAGGTGAGGTTAGGTGTTAGATAAAGTGTTAGGGTCAGGGTTAGGGTCAGGCAAGTAGTGGTTATTTTTAAGGTTAGGATAAATCT